CCATTGACAAAAGGCTCACCCTCTGGTGGGTTGGGCTTGTATGCTGTAGTATCAGGCAGCTAGTGCTGGGTTGGAGCTAATATCCCAGCTTCTGAACTGTGATTCTTCTTAAGGAAATGACCTCTCTGCAGGGCTGTTTCTTTTCTCTTGGGACTGACTGCCCTGCCTTTACCTAGGGGCAGGAGGAGATATGTCGGTGTGATACTTTCTCAAATCCCATGACTGCTGCGGCCTAGACACTTCCTGTGGCTTCTTAGCTGGTCACTAAGGGCTTTCTTGAGTGAGCCCTTGATGGCCTCTCTGGCCTGGAGTCCCCATTCCCCATGCCACTGGAAACCATGCACCTCTCTAGGAGGCGTTCTGGCAGAGAGCGGCATGGATGGTGCAAGGGGCATGGACATACCCGAGAGGGAGGGGAGCATGTGAGGTGCTTCTGTTTTTAGGGTGAGCAGTAAAGAGACAGGAAGGCCAACTGAGGAGTGGTTATCAACTGCTGAACTTACCGAAGGCCAGCTGCCTGAAAATGGACACAGCGAGGCCTCGACTTACAGGGCTGTGGGAGTTGGCAGGACGGAAAGTGTCCAGCGTGGCACTGGGTATGCAGTGAGAATTTTGAAACATTAACCCCAGAAACAGAGAGGGCAGAGGAGGGCTGGTGTTTTGGTGGGGAATGTTCTTCCCCTGAAGCAGCATTTCTCCTTTGTGTGTGCCAAGAACCTATCCTTAGGCAATCTGGCAAAAACCCATAGACCCGTTCTCAGAATATTGCTTTTAAATATATAAAGTAGGGGGAGATTACAAAGGAAATACATATCCTAGAGAGAGTTATCAAAATACATAAAAACCAAGCTGGTGAAATGGTAAGATATGTCCTTAGTTATTATTGCATTATTAGACAGGTTAAGGTTAAATTTACTTTTTATTCTATTGTATTTTTTTGAGTTGGGGTCTCACTCTGTCTCCCAGGCTAGAGTACAGTGACATGATCACGGCTTATCACAGTCTTGATCTCAAGGCTCAGGCGATCTTCTCACCGTCGTCTCCCAAGTAGCTGGGACTCCATGTGCTTGCCACCATACCTGGCTGATTTTTTTTTTTTTTTGTAGAGATGAGGTCTCTCTATGTTGCCCAGGCTGGTCTCAAACTCCTGGGCTCAAGCAGTCCTCCTGCCTCAGATTACCATAGTGTTGGGATTACAGGTGTGAGCCGCCTTGACAGGCCTAAATTTACTTTTTTTTTTTTTTTTTTTGAGTTGGAGTCTAACTTGGTCGCCCAGACTGGAGTGGAGTGGCCGCTCCCGGCCACCGCAGCCTCGACTTGCTGGGCTCTGGCGATCCTTCCGCCTCAGCCTTCCAAGTAGCCGGAACTACAGGCGCATGCTACCACGCCCAGCTGATTTTTTAATTTGTTGTAGAGATGAGGTCTCGCTGCCCAGGCGGGTCTCGAACCCGCGGGCTCAGGCAATCCACTCATCTCAGCCTCCCAAAGGCGCGGGATTATAGGCTGAGCCACCGAGCCCGGCTAAATTTACTTTTTAAAAGACACAGGGAGACAAGGCTATAGTTTCTCAGCTCTGAGAACATTAAGCAAGGGAGTGTCTTTGAGGGCAAGACAAGTGTCTGGCATGGTGAATACCTGGGTAATTGTGATTTTGTTTTGTTTTGTTTTGATGCTTCCAAGTGTTACAAGTTCCACATTGCAGATGAAATTGCACTTCTTCTTTTTTTTTTTTTGAGTTGAATTCTCACTCTGTCGCCCAGACTGTAGTGTAGTGGCTGCTCCCGGCCACCGCAGCCTCGACCTGCTGGGTTCCGGCGATCCTTCCGCCTCAGCCTTCCAAGTAGCTGGAACTACAGGCGCGTGCTACCACGCCCAGCTAATTTTTTTTTAATTTATTGTAGAGTTGAGGTCTCACCAAATTGCCCAGGTGGGTCTCGAACCTGCAAGTTCAGGCAATCCACTCACCTCAGCCTCCCAAGGCGTGATATTATAGGCTGAGCCATCAAGCCCGGCTGGAATTGCACTTCTTTATAACTAGTTTGATGAGGCAAGGACAGGCTTTTCCCTAGGATTGTGAGAATTCACCAAGTGTGTTGAGTTAGACTCTACTGTGAGAACCCATGAGGGGTGGGAAGGAGTCCAAAAGCCCAGGTGCAGAGTTGTCCATAGTTGGCCAGTTATATCACCTTGGCATCTGTGGGCAGGGGACCCAGGGGGCCATGGGCTCATGAGGTCCTTAGTGGGTCTGATAACGGAGCAATAGTGCAAGTGACATTTTCAGATTCCACTAGGTACCCCACCCATGTGCTTGTCCCTTATAGTGGACAGCAGTGATGTGATTGCAAAGACTGCCGATCTTAAGGTGCCACATCCCCCTCAAGCTGGAAGGGGCTTTCAGACCGTCCTATTCCTCACTGTCATTTTACGACTGTGGACACTGATGCCCTGAGTCCTCTCAAGGAAGTTGCCCAAGACCTCACAGTCTGTGGCCAACAGGATGAAGACCCCAAACTAGCGAGGTTCTTTCTGCAGGAGTGGAGAAGGATTTTAGGGTGAGAGTGACAAGCTGCAGGGTTGCATCTTCCTCTAGAGGATTTGGAGGCAGACTCCGTTTTCAAAGGATACTGTCCTTCCCCCACCTCCAGCTGCGGGTTCTGCCCCTGCAGCCTACAGCTGTGCACATCTGTGCCGTCTCTTGGCTGCCCTTGCAGGGTACCAGCTGGGACCTGTCATCGCCTGTGGAGCCCCTGAAAGGCCAGGGTGGCCGGAGTGGGAGCTGTGGGGCAGATAGGGGACAAGAGGCGGAGGTGTCAGGCCGAACCCAGCCCTGTGGAGATGGGCCCTGGGGCCTGGCCTTGGCCCACAGCTGTGGCTGGCTGCTGCTCTCCCTCTGGAGAGCAGCCCTGTGCCTCACGAGGCTGTTCCCACACATGCCTCCTTGGCCCAGGCTGTTGGGAGGGGTCTGGGAAACTTTGATGAGGGCTGTTTGGGGCCTGCTGGGGCCGGTGAAGTGGAAAGTAAGTTCCACTCTGCTGTTGGCCAGCTAGGGGTCCACTGTGGAGCTCCCTCCCCTTTTGAGCTGCCTGCTTTTCTGTTTGGAAACATAGAGGCCCATTTCCTTCACCTCTGATAAAGAGAGAGAGAGAGAGAAATTGGACAGGGTGTGGAGAGCTATGAGACAAGGCTCTTGTAAACAAGGTGTATGTGTTAACAGAGCTGTCATGAGGCTCCTGGGAATTTTCAAAAATGACAAGGCTGGGTGGAGGAGGGGCCCTTTCCAGGCTGGAGAGGGACAGGCGGTGGTTCTGGGAGGGTCTGGTGAGTCTGGAGGTCAGTCGTTCTCTTGAGTCCCTAGGCAGGAGGTGGCTCTGGGCAAGGAGTGTGAGTGCATGGCCTGGGGGAAGCTTGGGAGCACTGCCAGGGATCAGGGCTCTGGTTCAGGGCCTGGAGAGGAGACGACACGGTGAACTCAGCCTTCAGATTGACTTTCTGAGCCTGGCTTCATGCTGACCCCCTGGCTCCACCCTTGTCTCGAAGTGCTGCTGCTGGTTGTGGGAGGGCCGGTGGGGAGTGTGGATGACTGGGAGCAGATGGTCCCACTGAGGCAGAGTAGCTCAAGTGGGCGAGGGCAGCTAGGGAAGTTGTCATGTGCTAAGGCCTGCTGATTGTCTCTGAGCTTGTGCAGAGTGGAGGGGTGGGAGCTGACAGGGCAGGGTCCCCCCCTCCTGATCCTGGACCGTCAGTGCTATCTGGAACCAGCAGCCACTGAGCTCCCGGAAAGTTCTGTGAGCCTCTGTCATCCATGCCTGTCGCCCTTGGCCTGCGTGGAGTTCCCAGCTCCTTCCCTTCTCTATAGCCCTGGCTCTCCACCCCTGAGCCGCCTCCCACGCCCTCGGCCTGCCCTTACAAGGCATCTCAGCTCTCTCCCCCAGCCATTCTTTTATTTGCTTTAAGTAGGTTTTAACGTTATTACCCAATGGTCACAGGAGAAAAATCAGAAAATGCAAAAAAATCAAATGAGCAGAAGGAGAAAATAAAAGTCACCCATGATCCCATAACCTGGAGGTCACCTGTCGCGTGTTCTCTTAGGCTCTTCTCCTGATTACTAAAGTGGGACTGTGGCATGGACTTGCTTTGCAACCCACGCAGTCCGTTTTCTATTTCCCAGCTGTCTTTCCACATCAGTCATTGTATTTATAATGACTGTTTAACACTCCACCTTAGAGATAATTCATTCGACACACCCCCTGCTGTGGGCTGGATGTTGTTTCCAGTGGTTTGTTATTATGAGTAACAACCTGATCAACAAAACCCACTTTTTGCGTCTTCCTGGGAGAGAGCTCTGCAGGAGGGATTGCCAGTCCTGAGGACATCCATTGTCTTCCACATGGGGCGGGAACTGTGCTGTGCAGAGGTTGGCATTGCCGTTGATTCCAATGTTGCTATAGAGTTCAGGGGCCTGGTGGTTTCTTTGAACCCTGGGTCTACGGAGAGCTCACTTTGTCAGGAAATCCCTGGTCACTTTATGAAATCTGTGACTGTGATGTCTTTCTCCACCCTGTTCCCATCCTTCACGGCCAAGTCTGACATCCCATTGCATCTGTCTGACCTGGTTCTCCCTTGCTGGTGATGGTGACAACTTCCCCTTTTCCTAGCCTGGGATAGAGACCTGGCCTCTGTCTATAGCACCTGAACCAGTCGCTTAAAACCCTAGGCCCTGATCTGCTGAGGATGGTTAACCCCTTCCTGTCTTATTTTTACCAGTGGAGTGTAAACTAAGGGGTCAGAAGTTGCGTCTTTGTGTCTCTCTATGTCTGTGACTCTCCCTAAGTTTCTGCAAAGGGTCCAGCACACAGTAGGTGCCCAGTGAGTGCATGGCTTTCCCAGCAGCAGAATGTGGGAGTGAAGCTGCCTCTCTCTGGGTGGAGGGTGAGGCGCGGACCGGGTCCCTTCTGCTGTGACTTTTCCCACCCCCTCCTTCACTGCGCCCCTCTCACCCTGCAGGTCTGGGATCCTGAGGCTCCTGGCAGACTATGGGTACAACAGCCAGCACAGCCCAGCAGACGGTCTCAGCAGGCACCTCATTCGAGGGCCTCCAGGGCGGCAGCACGATGGACGGTCGGCACTCACTCAGCGTCCACTCCTTCCAGGCCACAGGCTTGCACAACAGCAAGGCCAAGTCCATCATCCCCAACAAGGTGGCCCCTGTTGTGATCACGTGAGTGGCAAGGGCGTGGGTGTGCCCATGTCCTTAGAAGACATGGCCCAGGGGACCTGCTCAGGGGTGCGATAGCATACAGCACATAATGCTTCCAAACTGCCTTCATGGATGAAGACACCGAGGCCCAGAGAGGTTAAGCAGTCGTCTGGAGTTCCACAGCAAGTGGGTGGCAGAGCTGGTTCTTTGAGCCCACGTTACCATGTCCACAGTGCCAGGGTGTGTGGAGGAGAAGGCATGGCTGGGGGGACATGCTTTTGAAAATAATTTTTGAGCTGGGCTTGGTGGCTCAGCCTGTAATCCCGCGCCTTTGGGAGGCTGAGGTGAGTGGATTGCCTGAGCCCGCGGGTTTGAGACCCACCTGGGCAGCGAGACCTCATCTCTACAGTAAAAAATCAGCCGGGCATGGTAGTACATGCCTATAATTCCGGCCACTGGGAAGGCTGAGGCGGAAGGATTGCCGGAGCCCAGCAGGTCGAGGCTGCGGTGGCCGGGAGTGGCCACTGCACTCCAGTCTGGGTGACAGAGTGAGACTCCAACTCAAAAAAAAAAAAAGAATTTTTGACTGAGCATTTTCAAAGGAAGTTTATATACTTAGATGCATGAAATTTAGATTTTTTTTTTTCACAGCCAGTAATGATGGGTTGACACTGAGGTTGACACCTGGCTGTTTAAGGGTCTTGGACTGAAAAAGCCAGAAGCTGCTGATGGACTCACCTACTTATGTCCTTCAGGGACGCTCCCTGAGGAGGCCGAGGGCCTGTCCTGGCAGCATGTTCTGAGAGACCTGGGCACACTGCGTGCGTCCAGAGGCAGGAGGTCACGAAGGGGACCCTGAAACCCCGTCTGTCCTGTGGGGCTTGGAGGAAGGAGTGTGGGCTGGGACACTGTGCTGGGGAGGACAGAAAGATGTGAGGGACACCGGATTTATCTCTGGTACATCGAGAAGCCTCTACTTTCCACACTTCTGCCCACCACGCTCCCCTGCCCTGGGCCTCCCAGCCCACAGGACACGAGACATGATGAGCCAGGAGTTAGCATGTTCCACACGTAGATGTTTGGCAAAGGCCTAGCCGGTGGGGCCTTCTGTTCTAGGACTCCTAGGGGTGGGAATGATAAATCCTGCCTGCTAGCTCTGGGGCCTGACAGGAAAACTGTAATCATCATAAATTACTGTGCTCATGAAAAGGAGAGGAAGAGAGATGTCATCTAAAATAAACTTGATATGTAGTCTCTGTACTGACATATGACAAAGGTGGGCTTGGGCCTTGAGGGCAGCATTGGAGACATATGCCCCAGGCCTGGCTGGCTCTGCCTCTGCTGTGCTCTGTGACCTTGGGTAAGTCCCTTTCCCTCTCTGGACCTCATTATCCTTATCAGCATAAGTGGAGATGACATTCGAAATATTTAACCAAGTGTTGTGTGGCTCAGAACAGTCACTGGCTCAGCTCTCCTTGGGTGGTAGAGTGTTTGGAGTGGAAGAGACCTCTAGAGATTATTCATTTGACACATCAGTAGATGGTGTCCTGTAGGCCAACTGTGGCCTGTTGCCTGTTTTGTAAATAAAGATTTTTTTTTTTTGAGTCTCACTCTGTCACCCAGGCTGGAGGGCAATGGCACGCTTCCGGCCACTGCAGCCTTGACCTGCTGGGCTCAGGCGATCCTTCCACATCAGCCTTCCAAGTAGCTGGAACTATAGGCACGTGCCACCACGCCCAGCTAATTTTTTTTACTTTATTATAGAGATGAGGTCTTGCCAAGTTGCCCAGGCTGGTCTTGAACCCGCGGGCTTAGGCAATCCTCTCACCTCAGCCTCTCAAAGTGCTGGAATTATAGGTGTGAGCCACTGCACCTGGCCTGTAAATAAAGTTTTATCAGAATACTGTCCTTCCATTTGCTGATGTGTGGATGCTTAGTGCTTCAGTGGCAGAATGGAGTAGTTGCCACAGAGGTTGTATGGTCCACAAAGCCTCAAGTACTTACCATCCAACTCTTTGCAGAAAAGGATTGCTGACCCCTGATCTCATGCATTTTAGCTCAGATGTGAAACTGGGGGTCAGGGCAGTGGAGGGAGTTGCTCACCATGGATCATGTGGTGACATGGAAGCAGAGCTGGAGTGGGAACCCAGGCCTTGACTCCTCATCTAGTGCTCTTCTGCCCCACCCATTCCACCCCTGTCTTTCCTACAGGCAGTTCTTTTGTAAAGGGAACCCAACACCAGAGCATGAATTTGGGGTAGGCACATGTGTGATTCATTGTTATAATCGGCATGGTAGCGTTTGTGTGTTGAATACACAGTAAGTCTTGCTAGAGTGTTTGGACGTTTCCTTGGCTTAGCTTCTAGAGAAATCTTGATTTTTTGCTTATGGGTTTTGTTTGAAATAGCCCCGTCTGACCATCGAATACAGTTGTGTTAGTAAACGCTTTGCCGCAGCACTGGGCTAAGCACTTAAGTTCATTCACACATTTAATTCTCACAGCTGTTCTAGGAGGTAGCCGTTCCTGGAAACCAAGCTACTTATCTAGAGCCACAGAGTTTCCGAGGGTGAAGTTGGGATCTGTGTTCCAAAGGCTGTGTCCTGAACCACTGCACTGTGTTGTGGAGTTGGCAGTGTGTGGGGACTGTCCTCAGACATAATCCCATGGAGGGACTCTCCAATGATGGTGTCTTAACCAGGGTGCAGTTAGGCCACTGTCAGGCTGGATAGGATGCCTTCATCCGGGTGGAAGCATATCTCTCTCATGGATGACCAGGAGGGAGTCCAGACTGGGATGACTGCTCATGGGTCATCTCTCTCATTGCCTCACTGTCATCAGCATGTGGCTTCTGCCTTATGGCCCAAGATGTCCTTTCACCATCACTTCTGGATTTTAGCCAGGGAGGAGAGAAGGCAAAATTGAAGGCACCTTCCCTGTGGGAATGGCCCAGAATTTGCATACATCACATTTGCTCACATTTCATTGGCTATAACTTCGTCACATGACCACAGCTAGCTGCAAGGAAAGCTGGGAAATATAGTCTTCAGCTGGGTGGCCTAGTCCCTAGTCACAGCCCCAGGGCTCTCTTGCTGAAGAAGAAGAGGAGAGTGGATACTGGGGGACAGTGGTCAATCTCTGTCATAAAGCCACGTGGTTGGGGGGTGGGGTGTCCCGGCTGAGGGCTCTGGTGAGGATGGAGCGGACCTTGATCATGGAGGTTGCTCGACTCAGTTTCCTTTCTGCCCCCGGTAGGTACAACTGCAAGGAGGAGTTCCAGATCCATGATGAGCTGCTCAAGGCCCACTACACGCTGGGACGGCTCTCAGACGTCACCCCTGAGCACTACCTGGTACAGGTGAGGTCAGGCCCTGCCCTTCCAACCCCTCTGCCTCCTCTTGCCCACCTTCCTCATGAGTTTCCTCCTGCTCCCCACACGCCCCTCCCCACCCTTCCCATCTTCAGAACTGACAGGGCCCTAGGAAGGGGCCAGCACAGTTGTCCTCTGGTTGGTTCCTGGGGCTCAACCCTGACTCCCTACCCAGGCCCCTTCTTCATGCCCTCCTTCTGGAGTGAGAGATGTTTGTCTTCCTTCGGGGGGCTGCAGACCCTACCTTAGAGCCGGCTTTGCCCTGGAGTGCCTTTCCCTGCCCTTTCCTCAGGGCCTGGCTCAGATGCCACTTCCTACATGAAGCTCTCTTTGATCCCCCTCAGGAGGAGTTGTCTTTCCCTTTTCTGCACTTTAAGACGTCTTTCCCAGATCATAGATGGTCATGCATTTTGTCTGTTTTTTTCATGAGCTATAGGCAACTTGAAAACAGGACCGTGTTCCTCCCACTTCTATTTCCTCGCTCCCTGTCCCCTGGAGCCCGGGACAGAGCCCTGCCAGTAGAAGATGCCCTTGAGTCATTTGAATGACCTGTGTCTTTCCCCTGCCAGGGCCGCTACTTCCTGGTACGGGATGTCACTGAGAAGATGGACGTACTGGGCACCATGGGGAGCTGTGGGGTCCCCAACTTCCGGCAAGTGCAGGGTGGGCTCGCCGTGTTCGGCATGGGACAGCCCAGCCTCTTGGGGTTCAGGCAGGTCCTCCAGAAACTACAGAAGGATGGACATAGGGTAAGCATGCCACTTCCCAGGCATGGGCTAGCCTCCAAATCCAGGGAAAAGGGCTCCCAAGAGGGGCAGCTTTAGGGGCCCTGGCAGGGCCTGACTATATGCTGGGGAGGGCGGGAGGTGGCCTGGCTGTGGCCCTGCAGGCCTTGACTGCCAGGATGGCCATGTGGTTGGCAACTTTTATTGCATTGTCCTGAGTGGCTATGGGGGTGTGAGGTCAGAAATTCCTTATATACCCTGAGAACCTTGGAGGAAGTGAGGGGTGTGACATGGTAACAAGAGGGTCCAGCTCATAATTTGAGAGTTTGCCAAATGATGACCATAGTTAATACCTATATCCTAATGTTAGTTGTATGAGGGACAGTTTGCGTCCCCTTTTACAGAAGAGGAAATTGAGACCCAGAGAGGCTAAGTGACTTGCTCAGGGTCTCATAACTCACTGAATGGTGCCTTAATACCCAAGGCCAGGCAGCTGGACTCCCAAGTACCTACTTTGAGTGACTCTTCTTGCCTGCCTGATACCAAGGTGGTGTTTCGCATGTCTCTGAGGCAGAGGCTACGGGTCTGCTGAGATTGCAGGCTTTATGGGGGCAAGCTTTATGGGAGCAGCCATATTTGAATTGACCTGGGATTAAACTGGAGAGGCCTTGAGTGAACCAGAATGGGTGGGGTCATTGCTGTGTGTGGATCCCGTCTTCCCAGCTTGATGACAACTTCTTCGAGGGTGAAGTCACGCATCTCCCTCTGCCTGTGTGGTGCTCAATGAATGAATGATTTATGGTGGTGGTCACGGGGCATCGTTTGTTCAGCTGATGTTTGTCAAGCACCACCTGATTTATCCAGGTTCCCTGCTAGGAGTTGTGGGCACGTGACCATGACCAAGATCTGGTTCTGCCTGTGAGGAACTTGGGTGCATCAAGGCAGACAAGATGTGTTCATTGATAACATTAATACAAAGTAGGAGTTAGTGCTGGGGAGTCTGATAAAGGACTCTTGGTCCTGAAAGGAGGAGTCACTGCTGACCAGGAGGGTCAGGAGGAGGTGGCATTTGGACTGAGCTGTGCTTCTGGGGTAGGATTCGGGTTGCAGAGATGGGATGGGGTGCTGGGCCCTTGAAGAGGGAGCAGCCGGAGCAGAGAGCAGTGATGGCCTCCTTCCACTGTGGACTCCTGGCAGGAGTGTGTCATCTTCTGTGTGCGGGAGGAGCCCGTGCTGTTCCTGAGGGCCAATGATGACTTCGTGTCCTACACGCCTCGAGACAAGCAGAACCTTCACGAGAACCTCCAGGACCTCGGGCCCGGGGTCCGGGCAGAGAGCTTGGAGCTGGCCATTCGGAAAGAGGTGAGGGTTGGTGATGTGGGTGGGAGCCCTTCCCCCAGGAGGCATGGGGCAGCTGAGCTGAGACCCTGGCCAGCTTTGCAGACGCACTTCCTGGAGCCAGCCCATCCGCTCTCACCACCGGCCCACGCTTCCCCACCTTTGATCCCTGCTTGGGCGAGTATCTGGCTACAAGGCTGGCTCACCGGCAGCCAGAGGAAGGACTTCCTCTTCCCATCTCTCTCTGCTTCTGCTGGTTTCCCATTCTGTTTTTCTCCTCCGTGCTCAACACCCCTATTTAGAAAGAGGTCTGGCAGGATGAAAAGGCCCAGGGTGCTGTTCAGCCCTTTGTGAGCTATGAGGCAGTTGACATACCCCAGAGTGTATAGATAGTGTGGAGGTCCCGGTGCCCCCCAAGTCTCCCATGGGCAAGAGCCAAGGCCATGCTGGCGACTGGCCGCCTCCCTCCTGCCACTCCTGTGCCCTCTGCTCCAGCTCCTGGCTGACGAACCTTGCCCTCTCTTGGCACTCTGATGGGTTAGCAAGTTCCTGCCATGGTTAGCCCATATGTAAATAGTTGTCCTCGGGCCAGTGGCCACCCGATCCCTTCAGGCCTCCCAGGAAGGCATAGAGAGCACCTCTGGCCACATAGTTCCCTCTGGGAAAGAAAGAAGCCTGTCTGGGGCCTGTGTGATCTGGTCACTCCAGAGCTCAGCCAGGACACCTAAGGGAGGACCTAGAAGGTCTGGCTGTGCCCTCTGACCTCCACCTCCCTCTAGATCCATGACTTCGCTCAGCTGAGTGAGAACACGTACCATGTGTACCATAACACGGAGGACCTGCCGGGAGAGCCCCACGCTGTGGCCATCCGGGGCGAGGACGATGTGCACGTTACTGAGGAGGTGTACAAGCGGCCCCTCTTCCTGCGGCCCTCCTACAGGTACAGGCTGCCCTCCAGCCCTGGCCTCGCATGCAGCTGTGGGTGTCCCAGGGCCTGTTCTCTAGCTGTGGCCTCAGTTTCCCGTCTGCAGGTTGAACCGAGTCCCCCACGCCCATCTCTCCCGCCGTGGGGGACATTTCCAAACCATGCTTGGGAAGGAGGATGGGGCATGCTGAGGGAGGGTGCTTGCCTGATGGGCTGTTCCCTCTCACCTGGCAGGTACCACCGCCTGCCCCTGCCCGAGCAAGGGGCTCCCCTGGAAGCCCAGTTTGATGCCTTTGTCAGTGTCCTCCGGGTAAGTGTGAGGAGGTGGGGGGTGCCTTGAGAGTGGTCTCCATGGTGGTCCCCAGGATGGCCGTGCCCTCTGGCTCTCCTCAGAGGGGCCCTCTTTGTGTGGTACACGGGGTCAAGTGGTTGGGATGTGTGTGTGGTGGGTGATATCTGTATCCTTGTCTCTGTGTCTCTGTGGGTGTGTGTACGTGCCTGTGTATCTTTGGTGTGTGTATGTGTGTGTCTCTGTTTGTATATGTGTGTCTGTGTCTCTGTGGGGGTGTGTCTGTGTCTGTGTGTGTCTCTGTAGGGTGTGTGTACATGTCTTTTTATGTCTGTGTCTCTGTGTGTGTCTCTGTGTGTGTGTACATGCCGGTGTTTCTGATGTATGTGTGTGTATCAATGTGTGTGTGTGTGTGTGTGTGTATGCCTGTGTATCTCTGGTGTGTGCATGTGTCTGTGTGTGTCTGTGTATCTGTATCTTTGTGTGTGTGTCTCTGTGTGTGTGTGTACTTGCTTGTGTGTCTCTGGGGTGTATGTATGTGTGTGTCTGTGTCTCTATGAGGGTATGTGTACATGCCTGTATGTCTCTATTGTGTATATGTGTCTGTGTGTTTACCTGTGTCTGTCTTTCTGTATGTGTCTCTGTGGGTATGTGCATATATGCCTGTGTGTCTCTGAGGTGTGTGTGTGTATCTGTATGTGTATATGTGTGTCTTTGTCTCTGTGGTATGTGTATACATTCCTGTGCATCTCTGGTATGTGTGTATGTCTGTGTGTCTTTGGTGTGTGTCTGTGTCTCTGTGGGTGTCTGTACATGCCTTTGTGTTTCTGGTGTGCGTATGTGTCTGTGTCTCTGTGGGAGTGAGTACCTGCCTGTGTGTCTCTGTGGGAAATACATGTGTCTATGTGTGCTCCTGTGTCTCTGTGTGTGTACCTGTGTGTAGGTAGGTGTGCATTTTACAGCATTCATCTCTGGCCGTTGGAGGCCTGTCTTCTGGCGGTGGCTGGTCTGCTCACTTGCGTATGGTGTTGGGATAATTGCCTCACTTCTCGAGCCCTGAGTTCCCTGTTACTTTAGTGGGGCTGGAGATTCTTGCCTTCTAGACCCTACAGCTGATATTTCCCGAGTCCTGGCAGTGCTCCTTCCCCAACCCCTCCAGGACGTGTCTCACGGGGGGTGTTAATTACAGGCCTGGTGCCCTCAGAGCAGCTCCCACCTCCAGAGCCCACTCATGACTCCAAGGCCTGGGGAGGGGGTGGGGCATTGCTCCCGGGGGTGCTTTGGGCAGATGGGGAAGGGGTGGGACCCGTGTTCCTGGGGTACATCGGGCAGATGGGGAGGGGGCAGGACTTGTGTTCCTGGGGGCAGGTGGGCAGATTGGGCTGTGGGCTTGGCAGAGGAGGCCAAGCTACTTGTCTGAGCCCACCTTGCCGCTGACTGTGGGGGCGGGGATCGGCTGATATCATGATCCCGTTTTCCGATGTGGTCCTCAGCCTCGGGGTTTCCAGGTCATGCCATTGCCTGATGTTCATGGTCTTCCTCAGGAGACCCCCAGCCTGTTGCTGCTCCGAGATGCCTGCAGGCCTCCCCCTGCCCTCCTCTTCAGCTGCCAGACGGGTGTGGGCAGGACCAACCTGGGCATGGTCCTGGGCACCCTCATCCTGTTTCACCACAGTGGGGCCACTTCACAACCAGAGTGAGTGGTCTGGGACCCTGTGTCCCGAGGGGCGGTGGGGCCCAGGAGAGGAGGGGACAGGCTGCACTGGGATGATGGGGACACATCTAGGAACCTGGAGTCAGAGCTGGAAATTGGGCATCTGGGCTTCATCTCCTGATTTGCCACAGACTTGCTGGGTGACCTGGAGAGAGTGACCTGGCCTTTCTGGCCTCAGTTTCCCTAGTTGGGGAATTGTCCCTTGCTTCCCCCAATGTGATTCAGAAGGAGCCTATAGTCTGGTGCCTCCCAGGGACCATGTGAGTGAAGGGTGGGCAGCCTGGCTGCCCAGAGGGCTCGGGAGACCTGCTTACGGACAGAGCCCCTGCCTTGTCAGGGCTGCTCCCCTGCAGACCAAGCCACTACCCATGGAGCAGTTCCAGGTGATCCAGAGCTTTCTCCGCATGGTGCCCCAGGGAAGGAGGATGGTAGAGGAGGTGAGCCAGGGCTGGGCTGGAGCTGGGGGCAGGGGCAGCGGAGGGCATGGTCTCTCCTCCCACTGGCAGGGGCCCCATGCCCTCCCCATCTCTCTGCCAGTCCTCATCTTTCCTTCTGTCTCTTTTCTCTCCTGCTACCTTTCCTTGACCCTGCTCCCCTCCCCCTCCTATCCTCCTCTTCCCTGCCTTGGTTCCTGTCCCCAGGTGGACCAAGCCATCACTGCCTGTGCAGAGCTGCATGACCTGAAGGAAGCGGTCTTGGAAAACCAGAGGAAGCTGGAAGGCGTCCAGCCCAAGAGCCCAGCCCAGGTGAGGTGTGGGAGGATGCGCGGGCACCTCTGCTTTTGTGTGAGCCCTGCAGCCTGATTTCATGAGGCCTGTTGACTGGTTTCTTTTAGATTGACCTTTCCTGGCTGCTGCTTCTCCCTTGAGGGGAGCCGTTTTCAGAGGAAGGGGAGGTAGGGTGCTGGGCCTGCAGGAAGGACAAGGAAGAGGGGAAGTTTACTTTCTCTGGCCAGGTCCCACCTCAGCAGCAGGATAAACAGGATGGAGGAAGGAGCCACTGACCAGGCATGCTGGGCCTCTAGTTCAGATACTTCCCAGACCACTCAAGGCCCCCCACAAATAAAGCTCCTGGTGTTTCTTGGGAAGACTGGGGTGTGGTCCAGCCTGCGGCTTCTGGAAGAGTGATGGGCTTTGGGCTTTTTCAGCAGACCCTGTCTGCATGCACTGGGGAGAGGAGGTGGGCTTGACGGTGTTTGCACACAGTGCATGGAAAGAATATACAGCCCGTAAAGCCTTGTACTTCTTTGAGATATTTTTCAGAAAAGTATCTTTTAAAAGCAGTACTCTGTGACAGATGATTGAGAAGTTAAATAAAGGAAAAAAGTGGCCCGTCATCCCAGCATGGCTGTTGCGAGCCTTTGGGGCTGGCGTCCTTCGTAGTTGTGCAGTGTAGGTTGTCCTTACAATGCTTTGCACCCTGCTTGTTTGGTTTAGTTTCATAGCAACAGCCTTTCTCATGCCAGCACCTGGCTTTTGTCTTTGGGATTTTGTTGGCTGTGAAATTCAAGCCTGTCCCTTGGCTCGCCTGTCGTAGGCCCAGTAAGTTAAGATCAGAACTCTGACCCAGCCACCTGGGCTCGCATCCTGGCTCTGCCGCCTGCAGGTGTGTGGACCCGAGCAACCTGCTTAACCGCCCTGTGCCTCCGCCTCCCCATTTGTGAAATAAGGCTGGTAGTGATGACTGCCTCATAGGGCTGCGGCAGGGCTAGGTGAGATCAGACACATGAAGCACTGAGAAGAGAGGTGCACAACAGGTGTCTCAGGAAGGTCACCTGCTGCCATTTACTGAACAGGACCCCGCTTCTTGGACAGTGGAGTTGCTTCCAGTTTCTCATTGGTGTAAAGACTTTCCCGTTGAGCAGCTTCATGACAATGAAGGCATTGTGCATTTAGGATTCATCTCCCCTTTGTCTAGATTAGGGGACAACAAATCTTGGCTCTAGGGGCCAAATCCAGCCGCCCCCTGGTTTTGTAACTGGTTTTGCCCTTTCATGTATGCACCATCTATGCCGGTTCCTCCGCCCTGATGGCAGAGTTGAGACGGGATAGCCTGCAAACCTGGAATGCATACTGTCTCCCCCTTCATGGAAAGACACAAGGGAGGTACCCAAGGATGGCATTAAACTTCATCCAAGCGTACCCCCCTCCTTTAGGGCCATATGAATCCTACTTGCCCTTGGCAGGGTACCGCCTTAACAGGAGAACCCTGAGACTGGAGGGCAGAGACAGGGCCCTTGGGGTTCTCTCTGACAGTCCACCATACAGAGAATGTGGGGCCGGAGTTAGGGGACAGCTCTGTCTGCTGTCTGTTTTGAGGAAGTCATGTCATTTCTCAGAGCCTCCATTCTCCCTCTGTAAATTAGGGGTAACAGTGATGCCCTTCACCTGGAGCACTGCTGTGAGGGTCTTTTTGTTTTCTTGTGGGAAGGTTCTAGTTCTTCAGGGAGGGCCCCTGACTCAGGGAAGGGGTGTTCATATGCTTGTTTCCTCAACATGAAGGGCACGCAGCTCTGACCCTGGTGGGTGTCACTGGAGCAAAGTGAAGGAGCCCCTGCCTGTCTCACGGCCAGGAGCCTGCTTGGGGGGCATTGCCTGTACCCAGAACCCCAGTGCCTGGTGTGACAGCCAGCCACTCTCCCTGCACCACAGATTCACTGCAGAAAATGGGATAGGGTTAGAAGAACTTCCAGCCTGGCAGAACTGTGTCATGAAGGGAGGGAGAGACTGTCTTCTGGGGAGTTCCGAGGCTTAATTCCTACCTTTCTGGGGATAGTGCAGTCTGGGGAGCCCCATTTTTAATGCCCCGCCCACCTCTCAGGGAAGCGGCAGCCACCATGGTGTCCGGCAGAGGGCCGTGCGGAGCCTGGAGCGATACTTCTACCTGATCCTGTTTAACTACTATCTCCATGAGCAGGTGGGACTGGAGGAGAAGCCAGACCATGCCCCCTCCTCCTGGGGCTCCTCCAGCCCTCCCCACCATGGTGACTGGCTTGCCGTGGAGGGGGACTCCCAAGAAGCTGGGGAGGAGAGAGGGAGTCAAGGAGAGACCCAGACACGGGGTAGACCCCCAGCAGGCCAGATACAGGGAGGCCCCACCTCTCCCCCCAGGGGCCCCAATCCCTGCACCCTCAGCGCGGGTGTCAGTCATCAGGATCTGCCCTCACCTACCCCGTTGTCCCTGTCCTGGGCCATACTGAGTGTCTTTTGGGGCTCCCCCACCCTGGCAGGCAGGGAGAGTTCAGGACGACCCGGGGCCCTGAACTCCCGTCTCTCTCTGCCTCGGACTGCAGTACCCGCTGGCCTTTGCCCTCAGTTTCAGCCGCTGGCTGTGTGCCCACCCTGAGCTGTACCGCCTGCCTGTGATGCTGAGCTCAGCGGGCCCTGTGGCCCCGGGGGACCTCATCACCGAGGGCTCCCTGGTGAGTGTGGCTGGCAGCCTGGGAAATGGGAGTGGGTGTGGATTGGTGCTGGGCCTGCCAAACACTTGATTCCTGCCCTCGTGGGAGGCAGAGGGGTGACAGCCTGTGGGATCTTGGGATCCTCTTGCGAGCAGAATGAGGCTGTTCTCAGACCTGGAGAGGCACTTGCAGCTTGGGCTGCTGTTCTAGTACCTTCTCTTCTGTCTCAAACCCAAGAGCTTTGGGCAGGGTGTCAGGAGCTTCAGGGCTCTCGTCTCTGAGCCTCAGCTTCCTCTTCTGGAGAGTGGGCACCATCACTCTTGTCAGGGCAAGGATCAAGCTCCAGGTGTGCTGAAGTGCTTTGTAAACTGTGCTGGTTTCGCCCACCCTCTGCCCGCTGCAGGCCGGGTTCTGACTCTCTGGCTGTTGTCAGCCACCGTGGGTCCCAGGCTCGGTGCTCTCCCCACAGGGGGCCGACGATCTTGTCTCCCCGGACGCGCTCAGCACTGTCAGAGAGATGGATGTGGCCAACTTCCGGAGGGTACCCCGCATGCCCATCTACGGCACAGCCCAGCCCAGCGCCAAGGTGACTAGCTCAGTGTGTGGCGCTGCTGTGGAGTGTGTGGAGGACCTGTGCCACTTGTGGGCGGAGGAGGAGTGGGTTCCCTCCCACTGATGGTTCTTCTGTCCTCCAGGCCCTGAGGAGCATCCTGGCTTACCTGACGGATGCCAAGAGGAAGCTGCGGCAGGTGGTCTGGGTCAACCTGAGGGAGGAGGCTGTGCTGGAGTGTGACGGGCACACCCACAGCCTGCAGCGGCCCGGGCCCCCCATGGGCCCTGATCAGCTGGAGGTGAGGTCTCCTGCCCTATAGCCACCCTTGCCATGGAGGCCTTTTGGGGATAGGCTGGGAGGGTCTTCAGAGGGTCGCATGCCCCTACTGTGCAGATGGAGAAACTGAGGCCCCGAGAGGAGCACTCTCAGAGAGTGTTGATGCGAGACTCCTGCTCTAGTGCTCAACTCACCTCCCTGGCTCTGGAGGTGCTTATCAACCCCGAGGCTTGGGGTGAAAGTCAGGGATGGATCCGGAGGCTGAGATGAGTCCTGACCACAACAGGCTCTCAGGGCTGACCTGGAGGTTGCCTCAGTGGCTTGTGCCCTCGTCCTGACCTTCCCCAGACCCTGGAGACCCAGCTGAAGGCCCACCTGAGCGAGCCTCCCCCAGGTGTGGAGGGCCCGCCCACCCGCAGGTTCCAGTCGTGCCTCACCACGCAGGAGGTCTTCAGCCAGCACCGCGGGGCCTGTCCCGGCCTCACCTACCATCGCATCCCTGTGCCGGACTTCTGCGCCCCCCGTGAGGAGGTGAGGGGCCAGGCAAGCCAGAGCTGGGGAGAGGCAGGAGACCTGCCTGCCTCCCCTCTGGCCTGGGCACTGGGAGGAGAAAACTCCAATCCAGCTCTCCTGTAAGGCCTGGGGATTGTCCCATGAGGTTTTCAGATTTGGCCCAAGTGGTTTATTTCACATCCTTACCAAACTGTGTGTGTATGCGTGTGTTGTAGGGGTAGGTGTGTATGTATTGTATTATAGGCGTGTGTGTGTGTGTGTCTGTGTGTACATGTACTTATTATGTATTGTGGGAGTGTAACTTCTATGTAGGGGTGAGTATATTTTTTGTGTTACAGGGGTGCGGGTGTGTGTGTAGTAGGGGTGTGTGTATATTGTGTTATAGGTGTGTGTGTGTGTGTATCGAGGGTGGGCCTGTTCTTGGCGTCTGGGGTGTGTGTCTTTGTTGAGGGAGGGTGTGTGGAGTGCGTGGTACTGTTGTGGAGTGTGTGTGTGTGTGTGTGTGTGTAGGTGTGTTTGTGTGTGGTGTGTCTCTATGGGGTTTGCGATGTCTTTATTGGGGGATATGTGTAGAGCGTGCATTTTAGGGAGTTGTGTGGTATGTGGCAGGGGTCTGTGGGGAGGAGGTCGAGGAAAGCTTGTGGCTCTGAGGGCAGTTGCCTGTGGTATCTGTCGGTTTGTGACGTGTGTCTTTGTGGGTGTCTGCATCATGTGTGTGTCTCAAGGCACGTGGATGCCTCCGTGTGGCGTGTGCGCCCAGCGTGTGGTGGGTGTGTGGGTCGCCATGTGTCCTGAGATAGGGTGATGGGGCTTGTGTTTCCATGTGAGCCCCTCCTGGAGAAGGGCTACTCTGTGGGTCTCACTGCCTGCTGTCTGTCGCCCCCTGATGGCCAGGTGCTGCAGGGCTCATCTGCAGTCAGGTCCCGGACACCCCCCCCCCACCCCGCTGTATCTTGGGCTGGGTCCAGCCTAGGCGGGAGGAAGGTCCCGGGATCCATGTGCAGCCCAGGGCACAGCACGCGGAGGTGACATACTGATGTGCCTGCTGCATCTGCTCACATAATGGGTCCAGGTACCCAGGATGAAGGTGGTGATAACCATACATTGGGTGTGGCTGTTTACAGGCATGTGGTCTCATGCACCCCAGTGCGTCACATGTGTGTACACAAGCTTGTGAGTCTGACAGTTTCTGGGGCCACGTTGGGGGTCCGGGCAGCCAGAAGGCACTCACTGGCTCAGATCTTGGTTTCCCCTCAGGACTTTGACCAACTGCTGGAGGCCCTGCGGGCTGCGCTGGCCAAGGACCCTGGTACTGGCTTCGTGTTCAGCTGCCTCAGCGGCCAGGGCCGGACCACGATGGCAATGGTGGTGGCTGTACTGGCCTTCTGGCATATTCGCGTACGTGTGGCCTTTTTTGAGGATCTGCACGGGTCGGATGGGTGCTCAGGCCCCGGGGACACTGGCTGTGGCAGGAGGGTGTGGGACAGAGAGAGCCTGGTGTGGTCCTGGAGATCCTCCTATCAGTTTTGGGTACCCCCCCCCACCAAGGGACTCCTGGTGTGGGAGAGGTGCGGCCCGTGGTGGGTGCTCCCGTCCTAGCAGCTGTCCTCCCTCAGGCCTTCCCCGAAGTGGGTGAGGAGGAGCTGGTGAGCGTGCCTGATGCCAAGTTCACTAAGGGAGAGTTTCAGGTGAGCATGCCCTGCGGGGGCCCCTGGAGAACACCCTGGGGAGAGGAGAAGGAGGAATACCACTGGCCGGGTCCTCAAAGCTCTTTCCAATGCTGTTGTCTTTTCTGTCTCCTCATATCAGTGCTTCTCTGTTCCCATATCAGAGGTGAGCCATCCAGGGTATGGGACAGCTTGACTCTAGGGCGCTGGCACGTGGGCATTGGACACGGAGAGCTGGACCTCTCTTCCTGTCTGGTCCTACCACTGGCTGACCTGTTGCTTGCCCTGGGGAGGCCACTGGCCACTGTCTTGTCTGGGTGATGTTGATGACCACCTCCCAGACACCTGGCACCCCACTGTGGCTGGTAGCATTGGTGCAGGGCTCTAGCCTCCTTGCCCTGCCCTTTTCCTGTTTCCCACCAGGGCACTAACACTCCAGATTGAGTCATCCACATGTCACACACCTGCTGTGTGTCACAGATCATCTTCTGACACCCTGCAAGGGGTGGCAGCATCCCCTCGTTGTTGGCATGTGTCTGTCCTGCAGTGGATGGCATGGTTGGCTCCTACTTCCCAGGCCAACTCTGCCATGGGCCCTCCCTTGCCTCGATGCAGTCCTGCCACCCCAGCCACTGTGCAGCTCCTCAAGCTTGCTGTATTTTTACATCCTCTGGGCCTTTGTACATGCTGTTCTTTTCATCGGACTCCTTCTTTCTTCCTTGCTCTGACCAATTCTCAGATTCTTTTTTTGTTCTTCTTTTGTGATGGTAAAACATACATAACATAAAATGTACTGTTTTAGCCATGTTTTTGAGTCGAGGTCTCACTCTGTCACCCATACTGGGGTGCAGTGGCATGATCCCAGCTCACCAGAGCCTTAGCCTTCGGGGCTCAGGCATCCTCCTGCCTCTTGAATAGCTGGAACTACAGGTGCGTGCCACCACACCTGGCTAAGTATTTTATTTTGATTTTTGTGGAGGTGGGGCCCAGGCTGAATTAGCCATTTTAAAATGTACAGTTCAGTGGAGATAAGCACATTCACGTTGTTGTCACCTATCACCACCATCCATCTAACTCATTTTGTGAAACAGAAACCCTGCCCCGCTAAATGATGACACCGCCATCCCCCATCTTCCCACCCCTGATCACCATGGTTCTACTTTCTGTCTCTGTGGATTTGACTGTTCTAGGCACTTCGTGTAAGTGGAATCATAGTGTATGTCCTTTTTGGGACTGGCTTATTTCACTGAGCATAACATCCTGCAGATTCATCCATGTTGTAGCATGTGTCAGAATGTCCTTCCTTTTTTTTTTGAGTTGGAGTCTCACTCCCCCAGACTGGAATGCAGTGGCACACTCACAGCCACTGTGGCCTCAACCTGCTGGACTCAGGTGATCCTTCTGCCTCAGCCTTCCAAGTAGCTGGAACCACAGGCACGTGCCACCACACTCGGCTAATTTTTTTATTTATTGTGGAGATGAGGTCTCACCAAGTTGCCCAGATTGGCCTCAAACCCATGGACCCATGGACTCAGGCAGTCCTCTCACCTTGGCCTCCCAAAGTGCTGGGTTTACAGGTGTGAGCCACTGCGCCTGTCCTGTCCTTCCTTTTTAAGGCTGAATAGTACTCCATATGGATAAACTACCTTTTGTTTATCGATTCATCTGTCATGGACACTTGGGTGGCTTCCACCTCTTAGCTGTTGTGAGTAACGCAGCTGTGAATGTGGGTGTGCCAGTATCAGTTTGAGTCCTTGCTTTCAGTTCTTTTGGCATCAGAAGTGGCATTGCTGGGTCGTGTTGTCATTCTGTTGACCTTTTAGAGGAACCGCCTTCCTGTTTTCCATACAGCTGTACCATTTTCCATTCCCACCAACAGTGCACGAGAGTTCCAGTTTTTCCACATCCCCGTTAACACCTGACTTTGATTTTTTGGAGAGTAGCCATCTGATGGGCATGAAGTGGCATCTCATTGTGGCTTTGATTTGCATTTATTTCCCTAATAATGAGTGACATCGAGCACCTTTTTCACGTACTTAAGGCTATTTGCATGTCTTCTTTTGGAGAAATGTCTATTGGGAGTCCTTTGCCATTTTTGGATCGAATGGTTTGGTTGTTGTTGAGTCTTAGGAGTTCTTTATATGTTCTGGAAATTAATCACGTGTATGTGATTTGTCAGTATTTTATCCTGTGGGCTGCCTTTTTACTGTGCTGAAAGTGGTTTTTGATGCACCAAAGTTTTTAATTCTGATGAAGTCCAGCTCGTCTATTTTTAAATTTTGTTGCCTATGCTTTTGGTGCTATATCCAATAAATCTTTGACAAATCCAATGTCATGAAGCTTTTCACCTTCAGAGGACAGTATCTCACTCTGTTGTCCAGGCTAGAGTACAGTGGTGTGATCATAGCTCCCTGTAGCCTCGAACTCCTGGGCTGAAGTGATCCTCCCACCTCAGTCTCTCAAGCAACTGAGCTTTTTTTTTTTTGTTTTTAGAGATAAGACCTTGCTATATTGCCCCAGCTGGTCTCAAACTCCTGGCCTCAAGCAGTCCTCCTGCCTCAGCCTCCCAAAGTGCTGGGGTTGCAGGCATGAGCCGCCGCACACCCACCCTCTCCTGTGTTTTATCCTAAGACTTTTTATACTTCTAGGTCTCTTACATTTAGGTCTTTCATTCATTTTGAGTTAATTCCTGTATATGTTATAAGGTAGGGGTCCAACTTTATTTTTTTGCACGTGGATACCCAGGTTTCCCAGCACCATTTGTTGAAGAGACTGTCCTTTTCCTAAGTGGTCTTGGCAACTTTTTTGAAAATCACTTAACTGTGTATGCCAGGGTTTATTTTCCAGTTGAACTCAGTCTGCACGTCAGTCCCTCAGGTGTAATAGTTGGCCTCTCCTTCCTCACAAAGGCCCTGGGCTAGGAGCTCTGTGTGTACTCCCTTATTCTCCCTTCACACCCCCCAGGAGGCAGGTGCCTTATAACTCCCAATTTACAGTTGAGGAAACGGAAGCACAGGAGCCAAGTTTATCACCCCGGAGCCACATCAGAGCTGGGGAATAAGCCAGGCTGTGGACCTCAGAGCCTGGGTTCCAGAGTCACATCATGTGACCCAGAGATGCCCCACGCCCCCCATCCCTACTCATCCCCGGATCATCTCGTTTCTAGACCAGCTTCCTTTGCAATTAATTCAGCATCTATTGAGCCCAGCAGGGAGCACTCAGTAGAATGTGAAGAGGTCCAGAGTACTCATTTGTTCTTAGGGTCAGGAGTGCATCAGGGAGAGCCCTGGAGGGCTTTGTGGAGGAGGTGGCACTTGAATGCCTTTTAGGAAGATGAATATGCCTGGTGAGGAGGGGCGTGTGCAGAGAGATGGAGCATGCAAATTCTGGAAAGGGCAGGAGCCAGTAAGGCTGCAATTGACCACAACGTTAGTAAGTGGGATTGAGGGGTGGGGGCCCAGGTTGTGAAGACACTGGAGAACCACACTGTGTGTTTGACCTTGACCACGAGGCCAGCAGAGAGGCAGGGGAGGTTGTAATCGTGCTCTCCATCTGGGGGGCTCCAGCAGCAATTGTGTGGGGAAGGGGGAGGCCAGGAAGAAGGGAAGAGAGAGGCAGGGCTGATGAGGAGGGGTGGAGGGGCTGCAGGGTAAACAGAAGCAGCCCAGTCCCAATTCTCAGGGGCCAGTGGCCGTGGGATGAGGAGGGTACCCGGGATGGCCTGGAGTTTCTGGCTTTGTGAGGTGTCCCCTGGGTACAGCCTGAGCCAGACCCGTCAGTAGTTCCTTCCAGATGACCCCACACCCGCTGGTGTGCCCTGCCCGGGATCTGAGAATCACAGGAGGGGAAGAGAGCCCCCCTCCCTGCCCTCCCACAGTGGCTAGAGCCAGAGGAGTGAGCACCTTGGGTTAGGTGTGCGCTTGCTCACTCGCAGGTGTGCACGCAGAAGCAGATGAGCAGGTAGCTAGCGACCAGTGCTGCCTCTGCACAGAGAGTGCAGGGTGTCGGGGTGGGAGGGGCCAGGGGAGGCTGCAGAGGCGGGGCGAGGGGTGGTGAGGGGCCTTGTAGACCTGGGTAAGCTTTCCGTTTCTGTGCTGGAGAGTGAAACCTGGGAATTATACAGATGTGACACATTTATGAGGGGGGACTAAAAAAAAAAAAAAAGAAAAAACAGGAATTACTTTTTGGAGGGTGAGCCCCTTGTAATACAGGCTCCCCCCGGGTAAGTGTTCTAGGAAACTGTCGGCATCAGTGTACTAGCTAGTGTTGTTGGGAGACGCTGCGTTTGGCTTCAGTGAATTTTTTTTTTGAGATTCTTTTTAACATATTTGCCCATTTCATGATGGGTGATGTACGTGAACAACCTGCTCACACCGTGCTGAGTGTTCCGCAGTTTTTGACCCCAAAGGGCATAATCTCGGTGCCCCACCCTCCCTATGCACCGGAACCTGCTCCAGGTGCCTTCTGCTTGTTTCCCTGGATGAAAAAAGTCCTCAGAGGGAAACATTTTGCCAAGGTAGAAGAGGCAAAACAAAAAAAAAAAACAGAGGTACTAAAAGGCATCAGAATTGATGAGTTCAAAAACTCTTTTGAGCTGTGGACAAAGTATCTAATGGAGAGTACTTGGTGTCACACAGAGTACTTTGAAGATGACTGAAGTTTAGATGTGTAAGAATAAGTGCACAATTTTTTATAAGCAAATTCTAGAGATTTTTGGGTCCCCCCCATATGCTTTCATAAGACCTCTCTGCCACCAGGGGAGGGACGTGCTCCCAGAGGGGGGCAGTGATCCCAACCAGTGAGCTGCTGCTGTGGAGGTGAGACATGATGGGGACACCAGTCAGGGATGCAGTGTAGACAGATGTGGAGGGGGAACTCAGCAGGGTGTAGCTGGGAGGGGTTTGGGGGAGGAGTCGTGCCTTACGGAGTGACCCTCCTAGGCCTCAGTTTTCCCGAGCATAAAGGGGAGCTTTTATCAGATGAGTGTTGTCCACACCACGTTCGCCAGGGATGGGTGTCCATGCAGTGCCTGGGGGCTGGGAGGACGACCAGGAGGTCCCCAACATGGGCTTACCACACACCCCCCCCTTACTCCTGCAGCCCTAGTATGTGACAAGCTATTCGTTTTCTAGATCAGTGTTCTAGATGAGGTTTGCTTTGAAGCGACGTTTCTACTACTTAAAAATAAGCACCCTGGGTCAGCTTAACATTGCATGGGTGTGAGAGAGGTGGTTTTTATAGCCTGAAGTGCCAAGCATACACATGGCAATTTGGAGTCACAGTCTTGCAACGACTATGTCTTGAACATTTTAAATTACTTCTATTCCCATGCTGCTTAGTTGAATTGTTTTCTAAAGAAAACCACTCCCTGAGGCTGGGTGTGGTGGTTCATGCCTATAATCCCAGTACTTTGTGAGGCCAAGGTGGGAGAAGTGCTTGAGGCCAGGAGTTTGAGACTTTCTCTCTACAAAAAATAACCAGGTGTAGTCATGGGTGCCTGTAGTCCCAGCTACTCAGAAGCTTAAGGTGGAACAATCACCTGAACCCAGGAGGTCAAGGTTGCGGTGAGCCATGATTGTGCCACTGCACTCCAACCTGGGCAATACAATGAGACCTCCAACTAAAAAAAGAAAAGAAAACCACTCCCTGCCTGTGGCTTTCCTTATGAGAATTGTGTGCACGTGTGACACCTTTGGTGGTGGTAGTCTAGCTCTCCTGATCACTTTGCTAAAGTGCCCTGACAGATTGCAAATTTGACTATGTTGTGTGTGACATTCAGTTGTGAGGTGGTAGGGCTTAGGCAGCCGTTTATCAGTGTTTGAAGATATTGGTGCTTGATTGTCTCTTAAGGAAAATTTGCCTCCAAATTTTAAGCTGGAAAGTCACTGGAGGCCTGGTGCAGTGGTAATCCCAGCACTTTGGGAGGTGGAGTGAAAGGATTGCCTGAGTCCAGGGGTTGGAGACCAACCTGGGCAATTGGGTGAGACCTTGTCTCTACAATAAATCACAAAATTAGCTGGGTGTGATGGTGTGTGCCTGTGGTTCCAGCTACTTGGAAGGCTGAGGCGGAAGGATCACCTGAGCCCAGCAGGTCGACATGGGTGGCCGTGAGCATGCCACTGCACTCCAACCCGGGCGACAGAGTGACACTCCAACTCAAAAAAAAAAGAAAGTCCCTGGAAAACGAAAAAGGATTCCAAACCCGTGGCTCTTAAGATCTTCAGTATATACGTTAAGGATTGTGTACAGTTGCAATGTCTGCGTGCTGATCCTCAACACAACCAATAAAATCTCAATCGTGAAAGAAAAAGCAAAAGCACCCTGAGAGTCCTGGCCTTGGAGATGTCCAGGAGCGCCCCCTGCTTTCCCCCAGCCTGAGAACCAAGGAGCATGTGGGGTTCTGTGGTTGGGGCCTGGCCTGAGGCCCAGCATGGCCCTTTCCCATGGGCCGAGCCTGAAGCCACAGGCCTCCACCGCCCCATTGGCTGTCTGCCTGCTCATGCCCCTCCTCTGGCCCCAGGTAGTAATGAAGATGGTACAGCTGCTGCCCGACGGGCACCGCGTGAAGAAGGAGGTGGACGCAGCGCTGGACACTGTCAGCGAGACCATGACGCCCATGCACTACCACCTGCGGGAAATAATCATCTGCACCTACCGCCAGGTGAGCCCGCCCCCACCCAACTGCCCTCCCGGGTGTGTGCAGCCCGGTCTGTGGTTGGCGTGGGCTTGAGGTGGCTAGGGGTCCCACGGGCCCCTCATCAGCCCTCGGTCATGTTCCACCTTCTGGAAGTGGAGGCGATCCATGAAATGGAAACATCCCCAGCCCAGGCCCCTCCCACCTGACTCCAGAATGTATGGAGGGATGTGTGCAGGGGGGATGCTCTAAGTATGTAAAAGACTGCCGTGACCTGGACCAGTCGTGGTTGTGGCCAACCAGAAGCAACACCCAAAACTCCCATGGTGCCAGGTGTGAACCCTCTAGTTTCTGGATCCTAGGGGGCCCCGGGGAGGAGCCTCGGGCAGGAGTCAGGTGGTGAGTGGG